ATGGCCCAGGCATACCTTCTAGAGGTGATAGTCCATATAGGCAGAGGCCACTCCAGGTGATACTTCAATGCCCTTCATGGATGCTGCAGACTGCACAATGATTTTCCAGCTAATTGGACCACAATTGATGTACCAGCAGCCTGAATGCGCTTGTTACTGGTTTAGGATAATTACACAATTAACCTTTCACACTGCCATCACCTCCTTTTTATACAGAGAAAGAGGAAACTCTGCAATACACTAGGATGATTGGTTAATCGACAGTATACCGCTATCTCTACAGACCGGTTATACAGAGGGTTAAACACTCATAGTAGTGCTCTTTTTAGAGGCAGGGATTCGTAAATTGCAATTAAGAGCTATAGAAACAATTCAACACTTTCAGAAAGTAAGATTTATCACCAAAAGGTTAAAAGGGTGCAGTATGAATATTTACAGAAAGAAGATGGTACAGAGCCGACGGTCCTCACTTCTCTGACTAAAACACAAAAAAAAGCTTCTTTTTTCTACTCAAAACCTCATCCCACAGCAGCCAAGCCAAGCCTTATTTGGCCAAGAATTGTTAGGCAGGGACTCAGCATCATACGCTGGTTGCATTCCTGAGGGAAGGGGAATGAGGGGATGACTTTAAGACTTCCTGACACAGTGAGAGCTGTGCCTGAACACCAGATCTGCTAGACCTCCCCCTCTCAGGTGACTGCATATTAGTTTAAGAAAAATACCAAAATGGAGAAGTTTGGGGTAAAATGGAGAACCGCACCTCTCCCTGTGGGCATGATTGTGTTACCCCCCCCATAACCCTGCACAGCCTGGCAACATGCATTTACTTCACTCAGACTTGCATCATGAGACAGTAACCAGTCCTTGAGCTTTGTTTTATTAGGGGGCTTAGAACTTGGATGGGGTAAGGGGTGTATGGGATGCCCAAGGGAATGGCGACTGAGGACAAACTTCTTAGCAACTATGTACAAGTCTTTACAGCAAAGTTTCTCTTCTGGAGAGCTATCCAGCATCTCCTATAGTACCACCCAGACCCCAGATGACTCCCCTCCTCATCCATCTTCTTTCCCCTTACTAGCCCAGGGGGTGCAGGTTTACTCACTTGGTCCCTCTTCTGTGCTGCCGGTGGATCGGTGGCTGCTACCATGCCTTCTAGCTGGGATGCTTCTTCCCTGCCACACAGGTGGTCCTATCTCAGTGGGCCGGTGAAGTCTCATGTTTTCAGCCTTCCAAGGTGCTCTGCCTGCAGGTGAGCCTCTATCAATCTGGGCCCCCTCACAGGCTCCTGCCTCCAGCCTCACATCCTTCTCTCTCTTTTCCACCCGAACTCTCCCAGCTGCTGAGCAGGCTCAGCTACTCTTAAAGGTTGTCTTGGTCCCCTGCCAAGTCTCCTGTTTGGGGATTGGCCCGGATCCCATAAGGGTACAAACCAGCCACTCCTCAGATCTGTCCACTGCTTCTAGACCATTCTCCAAAGTTCTAGAGCAGGGAGAAATTCCAGAAGGACTGGTCTGCAGAGCCTCCTAGACCTGATCACAACTTGACCTCCCTCTGACTGTTGCACAAGGTTGCTACTCATTCCTCTGCCTAACAATTAGGATCTAGCTCCCCCTAGCCATCTAGGAGGGTGCTACATGTATAATGAGTAGAGATGAGCGAATCGAAGTATCCGAAGTGGAATTCGAGTCGAATATCGGAAAAATTTCGATTCGTGCCGAATCCGAAAAATAGCCTATTCGGAACGCGCGAATCGAAATTTTTCAGAAAATGGCGGCTGACATGTGCGGCGACGGAGCGGGGATGTCTGGGGAAGCGCGCAGACAAGGCGCGCTGACCCATAATGCATTCCTCAACTACATGTGATCGCATCAGCCTATCAGCAGCCAGCCAGCCCGCACTGTGTAATGGTCGAGCTATAAATAGGCCATTTTGGAATTCTTCATTTGCCTGCAGTTATTGAACAGAGGCAGACCGCTCTGTACTAGGGACAGGGACAGAGTTATGGCCACAGAACACGATAATTGGGGACAGAGAAAAGTTACTTAGGGACAGAGAACCATTACTTCAGGGACACAGACTTTGATTTAATGAGGGCCACAGAATCGTTATTTAGGGACAAAGAAACGCTAGTTAGGGCCACAGAATTCATAAATCAGGGACAGACAGAATTGTTACTCTGCCAGAGACTTTGTTCCACTTAGGGCCACAGAACGTTATTAGGGCCACAGAATTGTTACTCAGGGACAGACAGAATTGTTACTGAGTGCCCAGAGAATTGTTACTCAGGGGACAGACAGAATTGTTACTGAGTGCTAGAGAATTGTTACTTGGGCCACTGAAACTTTAATTAGGGCCACAGAATTTTTACTCAGGACAGACAGAATTGGTTACTGAGTGCCAGAGCAGAATTGGTTTACTGGGGACAGAATAGTTACGGAGTGCCAAGGAATTGTTACTTAGGGCCACAGAAACTTTACTTAGGGCCACAGAATTTTTACTCAGGACAACAACAGAATTGTTACTGAGTGCCAGAGAATTGTTTACTCAGGGACAGACAGAATTGTTACCGGAGTGCCAGAGAATTGTTACTCAGGGACAGACAGAATTGTACTGACAGTGCCAAGGAATTGTTACTTGCCACAGAAAGCCTTCCTAGGGCCAACAGAATTTTTCTCAGGGACAGACAGAATTGTTACTGAGTGCCAGAGAATTTGTTACTCAGGGAAGACAGAATTGTTACTGAGTGCCAGAGAATTGTTACTTAGGGCACAACTGAAAACGTTTACTTAGGCCACAGGTTCTCGCACAGACACAGAAGTTGTTACTGGAGGGCCACAGAACTGTTACTTTGGGGGCCACAGAAACGTTAATCAGGGACACAGAATTGTTACTGAGGGCCACAGAACTGTTTACTTAGGGCCACAGAATTGTTCTCGCACAGACACAGTTGTTACTCCAGGGACACAGAAAGTTACTCAGGGACACATAATCGTTTAATTAAAGAGTATGTCAGACAACATGCTGGCAGAGGAGGCAATGTTTTAGGAAGCGATGCAGACGTGGCAGCAGAGGAAGGGTCGAGGCAGCACTATTCGCAGCCAGAGGCCTGCTCCCCGGTTGTCATCCAGCGGTCGTGTCTCCACCGACAAACCCTGCCGTCGTCGATTGGTTGTCTACGTCTTCCTCTCCCAGGTCACCTCTGACACCTACAGCCAAACGTTTCGGTGGGTACGTTCAGACACAACCGTTAGTTGGCATTAGGCCCGGGACCTAAGCCCACTGAAATCACGTGTCCTCTACAGTGTATTGTCCCTTGGGATTTGTTCCCTACAAGCAAGTATCGCATGCTGGTGGGCTCAGCCCCACTGTACAGTGAGGAAGAGCTAACAGAGGGCGGTCAGGAACGGGGGGAAGACATCCGCCTTTCAGCAGCTAGGCGAAGAAGTAGTGGCGAAGGAGAGTGGCCCTAGCCGGTCTAGAGACAGGGTCTGTCTCCTGACCCAGACGCAACTAGTGAGGCGGAGACCCTACTTGATGATGAGGAGGGTTGTCCACTTTTGGCAGGCCTCGTATGTCATCAGGCATTTTCTTCCGAGCATCACATCAGGAGAAAGGGTACTTGGCAGCTGAGCGAAAACATGGAGACACATCCGCAAGCCAGTGTCAGTGGAAGCAGTGTCAAGGTGGACAAACGGCCACGGTAGGTACAGAGCACCATTTTTGCAGCCACTGCCGGTGTTGCACGGAGGAAGAAGACAAGTCAACCCAGTGATGAGATCGAGGGGCTAAGTTTTCCTACTCGGCGGTGGGTTTCCAACCGTAGCCAAGTTAGTCGACTGGCCAGCCACAAAAGGTGGCAGTGGGTTCTTGGGAACCAATCTGGGCCAGCAAATGGGAGTTTGCCTCTCATGCGTCCTCTATCGACCACACTCTGTCCATGTTACATGTTCTCCTACACACCACTGCTGGTGTGTTCATTTTTATGAGTTGTGCTATCCGGCCTCCCCATAGCTGCTTGAGGCCCCTAATGCCATAGGGCCCCCTAAATCTTATGCTGCTCATACGAGTCTGTCTATGGGTCCCTGTACGGTCCTCCCATTGCTGCTGTCCTCCATCGCCACACTCTGCCTGTCCACTTTGCTCCTACACACACACTGCTAAGAATTATTTTGAATATCTGGCAGATTTAAAGGGTTGCTAATCTGAGGCAATATACCGTAATGCTTCCCCTTCCAACTGGGGTCCCTGTAGCCTCCCATTTGCTGCAGTCTCCATCGCCACAGCAGCCATGTGGGCCATTTCAGGTCTCCTCACACTGCTGTGGTGTAGAATTTGTTGACATAGGTGCAGATTAAGGCCTCCCATAGCTGCTGCCAGCAATTCCATAGGCCGCCTATATACCCGCATGCTGGCTGCCAGTCCAGTCTGTTGTGTAAGTCACCATGTGCTGTACTCCATCGTCTTCATGTGCAACTTTATCCTCACAGTGTAGAATTTTTTTGACATAGGGTGCTGGCAGATTACGGGCCTCCCATAGCTCTGCCAAAGGCCCCTAATATAGGTATGGGAGCCCTATTCACCGCCTCCTTTGCAGGTCCAGAGTCTGTGTCCCTGTTATGCTGACCTCCATCTGCCACACTCTGACCATGTTCCACTTTCAGGTCTCCTCACACACTGCTGGTGTGTAGAATTTTTTGACATAGGGTGCTGGCAGATTAAGGGCCTCCCATAGCTGCTGCCCAGCCCCCTAATCTAGACTCATAGCCCCTAATACCTAGCCTCCTCAATGCTGCTGCCAGGTCCAGTACATGGGTCCTCCTGTTCTGGCCTCCCTTGCTGCTTGTCTCCATCTCCCAAATTCTGCCATGTGCCACTTTTCAGGTCTCTCACACACTGCTGGTGTGTTCTAGAATTTTTTTGACATAGGGTTGGGTAGCTGGCAGATTTACGGGCTCCTCCCATAAGCTGCTCTGCCAGGCCCCCTCTAATCTGCCAGTGTAGGCCCCATATACCGCCTCTCCTCATGCTGCTGCCAGGTCCAGAGGTATCTGTCCATGGGTCCCTTGTCCCATTGCTTGACTCCCATCGCCCACACACTCTGCCATGTGCCACTTTCAGGTTCTCACTCAATGGTGTAGAATTTTTTTGGACATAGGGTGCTGGCATTAAGGGCCTACCCTAGCTGCTGATGCCAGCCCCAAATCTCCATACCCCAATACCGCTTCCTCATGCTTGCGTGTGCATCCAGAGTCTCTCATGAAATGTGCCAAAGGTCCTCCTACTGCTGGTGTGTTTGAATTTTTTTACATAGTTGGCAGATTATGGGCCTCCCATAGCTGCTGCCAGCCCCTAATCTGCCAATACGGCCCCTAAATACCGTCCATCATGCTGCTGCCAGGTCCAGAGTCCTGTCATCGGGTCTCCTGTCAATGCTGCTGTCCCTCCATCTGCCAACATCACCTGCCATGTGCCACTTTCAGGTCTCCTTCACTGCTGGTGTTAAAATTTTATTTACAAAAAGGGTGCTTGTGCAAAAAGTTGCTGCCAGGCCCCTAATCCTGCTCAGTGGGCCCCCCTATATACCAACATCTGCAAGCCGAGTCCTGAGTCTGTCATGGTTCCCTGTAAGTCTCCCATTGCGTTGCTGTCCTCACATCGCCAAACACTTCTGCCATGTTCCACGTTTCAGGTCTCCTCAGTAGAATTTTTTGCAGGGTGCTGGCTGATTACGGGCTCCCCATTGCTGCTCCTAAATCTGCCAATGGGCCCCTAATATTAAACCGCCCTCCTCTATTGAAATCAAATAGACCCAAATATGCCAGGTCCAGATCCATCTCAGAACAGTCATTCCATGTTCCCTGTACATATGCTAGTCTCCAAGAGGCAATAGTGAGACTTTCTGGATCACAACAGTTTTTTTGACATAGTGTGCCTGGCCAAGATTACAGGCCACCCAAATGCTGTTAGGTCCCCTAATCCAAAGTTATACCGCCTGCCCCTCATGGCTGCTGCCAGGTCCAAGAGTCTGTCATCCTACGGAGAAATACGCCACACTCCAGTTGCCTTTTCAGGTCTCCTCACAAGCTGGTGTTAAAACTGTTTTTTGACAATGCTGGCACGAGCCTCCCATAGCTGCTGCCAGGAACCTATATAACTCCTTGTGGTCCAGAGCTTTCATGTGTGTCCCTGTATATGCTGTCCTCCATCGCGCCACATTTGCTCACAGCTCTCAACACTGTGTGTAAATCCTTTCATAGGGTGTTTGGCAGATTAGTGGGCCTTCCCAACGCTGCTGCCAGGTCCCCTAATCTGCCCATGGGCCCCTATAACACGACTCCATGCTGTGACGTTGCAACAAGAGTAGTACCCACCCTTTACGAACCAGCAAAAGGCCCCCCCCCCCCCAAATATCCCCCCCACAGATTTCCTGATGTTATAAAGCGGATGTAATCCCTAGGGTGTAACATTAGATGTCAGCCATTGGCAGCTCATGCGTACACCTGCGTTTCAGCCCGCCCTATTTGAGAGGCCACTATCGTGTGAGTGTGAACGACGTCATATCCTCTGTTTGCACTCCAGGAACAAATGCTGTTGATCAGGGTGGCGGTAGACGTGGCGCCCCAGATTCATACGCCACATGACCCCTGTGGGGGTACGGACAGGAAGAAGAAGGAGGAGAGAGACATGCTAATTATTGAGTGAAATGGGTGGTTTTTTTCCACTGTAATCTGGTAGAAGGAGGAGAGAGGAGGAGAGGAACAGAGGACCCAGACGCACCGGTGGGCAGTATGCATAGCTGTCCCCTCGCATATCCGTTGGTCACAATGTCCCATCTTATGGAGTCTTGCGTAGCGCCCAGCCGAATAATAACCATTCAGACAGAGGGATGACTCTTTTGGCTGTCCAGTTGGACCCTCACAACCGTTGTTGGCCTTTTTTTGTGAGAGGGAGGCCAAAATAACGCCGTATGTAGTCATCTCTGCCTGTGCGCCAACGTCCACAGAAAACTGTGGGGAGGCCCAGTGCGCTCCCCCGTTGTGCCATGGCCAGACAGGGGGAGGGTGAGGAGCCCAGTGAGCATCCACCAGCAGGTGCCTCAGTCCCTGCAGTCGGATGAGTTCACCAGGCGCAGTGTAGGGAAACTACTCAGGCAGCACAGCAGCAGCATTCAGGTGGACCTTCACTAATACAACAGCCTTCAGGACAGGCACCCTGATCCCCTTTGACTACTATGGGCAAACGAAAACCCTATACCAATTGGCCCCAACTACAGGAGGCTGTCATGCCCGGTGTTCGGAGCGCTGCGGCAGGAGGTATTTGCAACTCCGCGGTAAGGACACGACTGTCCACCCAAAGTGGTTGGAGAGACTGAGGAAAATGAATCAGCAGGATGTTAAAAAGTTCCTGACACAACTGACCTAAAATGAACATGCCGCCCATTGGCCACTTACAACATCTGCAGGTGTGTTTTCCATTATTTTTGTCATAGGGTGCTGGCAATTAGCCTCCCTAGCTGCTGGCCAGGCGCCTAATGCCATATTATCCGCCTTTTGCTGCTGCCAAATCCACTTTCTGTCAGTTCTCCCTGTAACGGCCTTCTTTATGCTCGTCTTCCATTGTGCCATCCTTTCAGGTCTCACAAAGACACTGCTGAGGAGAAGGTGTGTAGAAATTTTTGACATAGGGTGCAGATTTACGGGCCTCCCATAAGCTGCCACCTAATCTGCTATAGGGCCCCATAAGGAACCCGCATCCCTCATATGCTGCTGCCAAGTTCCAGAGTGTGTCATGGGTCCCTGTAGGTCCTCATTGCTGCTGTCTCCAAATCGAGCCCACACCTTCATGTGATATCAGGGACACATCCTGCTGGTGTTCCATTTTTTGAGGTGCTGGCAGTACGGGCCCCCATAGCTTGCCAGCCCCTAATCTGCCACAGCCCCTGTTGTCGCTTGATTGCATATCCGCTCGTGTCAAGATGCTCCTTCTCCTAGTGTACTCCATCAACTGGATTCCGTCAGTCTTTCTTGAATTTCCGTTTTCCAAGATAGACAACACGTTTTGACTGTTTGACCAGAACGGGCATGAAACTGAACTCGTCCTCCTGTCCAATTGCAAAGCTGCCATTAATCTGTCCATGCGCCCCCTGTTACCAGACCGCCTTCATAGCTGCTTGCCATGTCCAGAGTAGTGAGGTCCCGCTCACCGACCTCCAAAAAATCTGTCATGGGCCCCCCTGTACCCGCCATCCCCATGCTGATAAGATTGTGTCATGGGTCCCTGTACGGTCCTCCCACTGCTGCGCTAAAGGCCTGTAATCTAGCCAATGGGCCCCCGTACCGATCGCCTCAAGCCTGCTGCCAGGGTCTGTCCCGTAATCTGCCATCGGCCCCTGTAGTACCAGCCTTCCTCAGTGGCTCCCAGTCCAGAGTGTGTCATGGTTCCCTGTACGGCGCCCCCCATCAATTGCTGCTGTCTCTATCGCCACACTCTGCCATGTGCCACTTTCAGGTTCTCCTCACACTGCTCTGGTTTTCCATTTTTATCATAGGGTGCATGGCCTCACCATTGCTGCTGCCCTCCTACGCCACACTGTGGCTCCACACTCTGGTTTTGGCCCCGTGATGGCCAAATGAGTGAAGTGTGCGCTGTGCATTTCTAAGATCGACGCATCATCTGCATGTCATACTGCCTGACAGTATTATTTCTCTTCCCCAGACTCCAAGGGCATTTGTACAGTGTTCAGCACTAATATTAAGTCTCTCTGAAAGCCTAGAAACACCCTTTTTTAAGTTAAATTCACAGCGGAGGAAATATATTCGACTCGAATCGAAAATTTTTTACGAATTCGGAATCAGTATCGAATCGAATTTTTGAATACTTCGCTCATCTCTAATAATGAGTGTGCATACCTGCATGCTCAAACAACCTACAGATTTCCAAAAGATAGGGATACAGTATTGAAGGCTTCATCTACCTAAGGTACTTTGAAACCCTCAAGCTCTAGACCCTGACCTGGGATTACAAAACTCGGAGAACATGGAGAACATGGACAATCCAGTATTTTTCACTCAGAAACAACTCCCCAGAGCAGGGTTTCTCAACCAGGGTTTCTCCAGAGGTGGCTAGTGGTTCCTTGAGATGAGCAATTTATGCCTCTCAGATACGTTCCCACTGACACCATTGATATTTTTAGATATCTGTAAGGAGGTAATTCTTCTTAATGATCATAAGTGTAAGGGGCAATCTTCCCACTGACCATCACACTAATGTATCATGAGTTGTAGATATAGTAATTTTTAACAGGGGTTCCCTGAGACCGGAAAGTTATTTCAGGGTTCCTTTCTGTTGGAAAGGTTGCAAAAGGCTGCCCTAGAGCTTCGCACTCTGCATTAGTACAAGTCCTGTGTGTCTTCTGCCTATCCTCACAGTGGCAGGGCCTAGTACTGTCACAGTATATAGTAGATTTACGCAAGTGTGATTATATTTTGGGATTTGTAACTACACAAATGATCTACTCCTCTCCCCCCACCCCCAATATGTAACAGATTGGAGCTGAACAGTTTTTGGCAGCTGCATTTGTTTCCTTTTTTCAGGCTATGTCCATTTTTTGTAAGTACATAAAAATACCTACTGTACCTACCTCCAGAGACCTTGTAACTTCCTGTGCACTGAATTGAAATATCAAACAATGCTATGAGACCTTCCAAGTTACATAGTTAGTTTGGCTGAAAAGAGACAAAAGTCCATCAACTTCAACCATTAAAAAAAAAAAAAGTTATAATCCTATACCCCACAGTTGATCCAGAGGAAGGCAAAAAACCCAGCAAAGCACGATCCAATTTGCTCCTGCAGGCAAAAAAAAATCCTTCCTGATCCCCCAAGAGGCAATTGGATATTCCCTGGATCAACTTTACCTATAAATGTTAGTATCCAGTTATATTCTGTGTATCTAAGAAAGAATCCAGGCCTTTTTTTAAAGCAATCCATAGAGCTGGCCAGAACCAACTCTTGTGGGAGTCTATTCCACATTTTCACAGCTCTCACTGTGAAGAAACCTTTCATTGTTTGGAGATTAAATGTATTTTCCTCCAGACGTAAAGAGTGCCCCCTTGTCCTCTGTGATGACCTCAGGGTGAATAACTCTACACCAAGTTCACTATATGAACCACTGATGTATTTATACATGTTGATCATATCCCCCCTTAATCTCCTCTCCTCAAGAGAGAATAAATTCAGTTCCTGTAATCTTTCCTCATAGCTGAGCTCCTCCATGCCTCTTATCAGTTTGGTTGCCCTTCTCTGTACTTTCTCCAGTTCCCCAATGTTCTTTTTGTGAATTGGTGCCAAGTATCTCTGTGGACTACAGATAACCTCCCCAATGTTATGAAGAAGAAAAGGTATTGGAAGTTCAAATCAGGAGTGAGCAGCTCCTTCATAAATACAGTACAGTGAGTGAGTGTTATCACCCTACGACAGGACATGTGTTACTGGCAGGATCACAAGGTGAAAATAAAGGAAAAAAGCTTAAAAATGAATACAGCCATAACATCTACACTGGAAAGCTACAATATATTACCTTTTTCTTGAGTTGCTCCCTGTCATTCTTCTTCTTTGCAGTTATCTGTACATTTTCTTAATGTATTTTGCTTTGGCAAAAACTCCTTAAAGGAGCTGTGATTTTTTTCTGACAGTGAGTGTCAGTATAATACCAACAGTGGATAGGAAGGACATAGGAGTCCTGACAGAAGTAGAAAGACGTTTTAACTGTTTTTTAAAAATCATAAACCCTGCTGATCAAAGCTCCTTTTTGCTTTAGGATAGCAATCTGATTGAACATCTCTATCAAGCCAAATTCAGACTGTATAGTGCTCCCAACCCACCACCCCTATTAAAAAGTGAAATATAAGTCTGAGCATGTCACCACTCCCTTACCCTTACACTGATCCTTGACATTGTGCAGCTTATCTTACACAATACTACAGAACTTATTTGATTGCAGTGAATCAGGAACAATGTAATGGAGACTTGAGAGGGCCCAGGACATAACTCACTCTAGTGGGTCCCAGGGCACCTTGGCAAAGTATAAAATATATGTACTGTTTTTCATGGGGAAACTTTACAGCTGTTAGCAGTGGATTAAAAAATATATTAGTGTTGATTAAGGATCAGGAATGCATATTAGGTATTAGGACTATTATATTTTAAACTGTATATTAATGTGACCATAGATAGGGTTGTTGGCCCTTGAAGGCCATTGCTGAGAGCAGCAGGGTTAGAAAAGTTACCAACAAGCTTCATCATTTACAAAATGGGATAACTTTTTTCCTTTTTTTAATTCCCTCTTCTTGCAACCTCTTGCCATTAATGGCTAAATTCAGGAAAAGAACTGTAGGAGGAAGGGGATGCAGACCCCATGCTACTTCCAAAAACACATTCTACATATACTGTAGGTATTATTATAACCTTCAGATGACAGAGGAACAGAGCTGTGGAGTCCCTGACCATTTTAATTAAAGCTGAATGTGCATATTTTTGTATAGTTACCTTGATTCAGCTTGAATCAATATAAAGGATGCATACCTGGAAGAACCCCATGATCCCCTGCTGTAAGCTTCTGGGCCCCATGAGCACAGGAGGCCGCTCGCTCAACAAGAGCACCATTGAAAGAGTACTGAGTACTGTGCATTTTCTCAATCAATAGAAAGCATTCTCTTCATCTTCTCCAGAGAGCACTTTACATTCATTGAGATTTTGCAAAGTATGCTCTGGATGGCACCCATGCTAAAGGAGCAACCTCCGGTGTTCATTAAGCAACAAGACAGCCAGCTGCTCAAAACAGGACCCAGCAGCTGGTGGCAATCACTGTAGTAGTTGTGTCTATTATAGTGATTGCCAGCTTAAATGGGGGTATTCTAGGTATTACACATACTGTACATATTTATATTGGTCCAAACTGGAAAAGCTAGAAAACTATGTATACCTAAACTTCAGCTTTAAAGCAAAAATCCAGAAAAAAATGTTTGGGCTCTTGCAGTGGGGTCAAATGCTTGTTTTATTTTAGGGGAGAGGACACTGAAGATATACTCACCTGACCCGCCGATCCTCCCCACACAAGACTGGTCCTTTTTGCTCCTGCCCCAACCTCCCCCCCACCCCCGGAATCCAGCACTCTTGTAAATGAATTGTTCCTGACATCAACACGCTCAAGGCATGCTCCTCAGACAGGAACAGTCCACCGCTGGACCGTGGGGGAGCGCTGTTTTCCTTAGGATCAACGGGTCAGGTGAGTATGAGTTTAGTTCTCACTCCTAGAAAAAATGAACAGCCCATGCAGTGGGGGCACAAGCTTTAAGCTTTTCTTGGTTGTAGGGTCAGAGAAAGTGTTAGCCGTCTGTTTGTATTCTGTAAGCAGAAAAATGTATGCACTTGCAATCAATTTTAATCTTAGAAGCATCTTGGCTCAGGCATGTTTGGATCCTAGTCTGAACCCACCTGACCAATCCTACCAGGAAGCTGTCAACTGCACTGGGCCAATCATCTGTGGCCAGGGCACTCCCTGCCCCACAGCTGCACATATACAATGGTTGTGCACGCTTAAGCTGAGGCTGGGAAATGCCTTGGTTTCTTATGATTGGCTTATGAGGATCGGTAGTGTGATCTCAGCGATCTATGTGGGCCCTGCTGCCCAACACACAGGCTGCATGCGACTAACAGGCAGATGAACACCTTACAGAAAGTAGAATGGCAGCAAGGTGCCAGCCGCTGGAACATGCTCTGTATTCCAGCACCTGGTTCTGAAAAAGAGACTATACTGGGGGTGGTGTGGGGTAGGAATAACTTTCACTGCCACTGACCACCAGTGCAGGAGGGGTGAAATTTCACTGCCATGGAAGTACCTGCCCAAGGAATGTGGACAGGATTTGTTTGGGTTGGATATATGCCAAGGGTACCTAAATATTTAAAGAAGGATGCTGGGGTAATGCTTGGTCTCTCAATTAATATGGTACAGCCTGTCCCCTTTGAGACCTATCCAGCAGTCTTCCTCTAGTGGGCTCACTTTTGTCCACCTGTACCACTCCTTATCTATGTTTCCAAAGCATTTAGGCATTGCTATCTTTTTGGAAATGTTATTTTCGGGAATTATAGCTTACTGAAAGTTTACTATATACCGAATGTGTCTTATGTGTTTTGTACATATTAATACAATGTAAAGCTATTGTCCTAACTTGTCTTTTATGACATGTGGTGCTTTGTTATTACTGGCACTACTAATGCAGGGGTGTGGGGAGTTACATTTCACTGCCAGTGACCATTAATGCAGGAGGGATGGAGGTTAACTCTCACTGCCACTGACCACCAATGTATGGGGTGGAGGTGGTTAAATTTCACAACCAGTGACCACTATTGTGAGGTTTTTTAATACTTGACACCAGTGCTCGGGCTATTATTGCATCCACTAACACCAACATTGGGGGTTATATTGTGTCCACTGACACCAATATTGGAGGTTATTATTGCGTTTACTGACACCAATGTTGAGGATTATTACTGTGTCCACTAACACCAATGTTGCAGGTTATCCACTTGTCTTCAGGAAGATTTATCCCCCTTCATGACTAGGCCATTTTTTGCTATATGATGCTGCATTCATTTAACTGACAATTGTGCCATCATGCAACACTGTACATAAATGGAATTTATATAATTTTTTCCCAACAAATAGAGCTTTATGTTTGTGGTATTTGATCACCTCT